GTGACAGGGGGTGGCGCTGCAACCTCCCCATCGACCCTGCCTTGAGTGTGACAGGGGGCGGTGCCCCAACCCCCCAATCGGCCCTACCCTGAGCGTGACTGAGGGTGGCATCGCAACCTCCCGATCCGCCCTGCTCTGTGCATGGCGGGGGGCGGCGCCCCAACTCCCCAATCGGCCCTGCTCTGAGCCTGACCAGGGGCTGCACCTAGGGATTGGGCGTGCCCTCTGCCACCCGGGAGTAGGCCTAAGACAGCAGGTCGTTATCTCCCGAGGGGACCCAGACTGTGAGAGGGCATAGGCCGGGCTGGGGGACCCCCCCTTCCCTAACCCCCCCCCCCAAGTGCCCAAATTTTTGTGCACCGGGCCCCTAGTAACTATATAAACTTCTAAGTATGGGTGATAATCCCCAAAGACACTGTAACATATTTCAAGCACATTCTAACTTAGCACAAAGACAACTAACAAAGATCAAATGAACAAATGATTAGATTGATAACATAGAAATTCTAAGTTATATACAAAAACTTCATGTAAAAATTGATCATTATGTAAATCATTTCATGAGTTAGACAGCCATTCCCACATGAACCATAAACTTCCATTTCCTGATTTCCATGGTTGATAGGTCATTAAATTCCCTCTCTCAATGACATACATTAACTGCAAATTACTAACCCATCCCTCCTAAGTACAACCCCAACCTCTCACTTCTCCCACTACCAGCAAATGATCACAAACCTACTTATGGGTTTTTCCTATGTGTATGGCACTGTGTTAGGCTCCAGAAACAAAACTAAACTTAAGATCTTGCTCAATCATCTCTAATAAAATAGCTGAATCACATCAAGAACCAGGGTTCTGATAATAGAAAATCCTTAACATTTCTCAAATGATGCTTCAATGTATATATTTACATTTTTCCGTGCCTAATGATTCTGAACTTGGAAGAGGATTGTCAAGTAGCCCAGGTCATCTATTAAGATTAAATTCTCTACTCTGTCCTTAAAGGACAGCCACATCTGTTCAAGTGATAAAACATTACCTTATTTTCCACAGGGTCATGGTCTAGAGCGAAAACCGCTCCCATCTGCTGGCTGAGTAGGGTTCCATAATCAGTTCCATCAAAATGCATGTGTCGAATATCTTGGGAATTGGCAAACAGCAAAAACGGTTGTGGTCCTGATAACCAAATTCAAATATGGCTCCATTTAAAATACGCCTTGAAAGCCAAGAGGCACTTCTGACTCTTCCCTTTCCTTCGCCCTCTTCCTTAACTTCTGCAGTACTTGTTTTCTTAACTTCCCACCAGTGTGTGTAGGTTAAGACAGGCAAGAAGAGTTCCTTTTCCATGAGGTGACATATTGCCAGAATTTCATCACTGGATTCGTCCCTGTCTAGGGGCCTGCTTTTAAAATGCAAATTACTTAGAGAAAGAGCCAGCATTAAATAACCAACACCATAACTAAATGGTACAAGTGTTAGTGCTGTAATCTCCCTGACTCACGCATACTGAAACATATTAAAATTAGCATATTGTATTAATTCAGATCTGAATAAATACCCTCCTCTGGCCTGAGCACTTCTAGAATGGAAGCATGATTATTTGAGTTAATAACAAGACCTTTGTTAATTTTCAGAGCTCAGGTTGTGCTAGATTAACAAAGACCCTGGCAAGTTAAGAGTATTGGGCTAAGGCAATCCCAGATTGCAAGCATGATGAATCTCAGGAGAGATTAAATCAATTTAGTATATATCTAGGATTTCCAAGGCTGTTGAAGGACACAGGAGATGTAACATCAGCAGATAAAATAATAGTCAAAGCATACAACTTCATATTGAATTTTGACATTAAAAAACCTGAATTTGTCGAAGTATTATTATTATTACATTCATTGGAGAGTTAAAAATCAAATCAATCGACAAATATTTATTCAATTCTTTTTAACTATAAAGTGTTTAAATCTATTCTGGTCATGACTTTCACATATACTGGAATACCACGCTTGATGTTATAGCAAATCTTTGCTGAATACTAATTAACTTCTAAATATTCCTCAAAAACACTATTATTTATATGATTATTACTTACATTACTTACATTTATAATATAATTTGTTTTCCATCTCCAAAAATAAAAAATCAGACCTTTAATGCTCTGTCTTTATAAATGAAATGTTTTTTTCACATACTTTTGCAGAGACACACTTTCAAACACCCACAGCACTAACCTGACGCTACACAGCTTTTTTTGTCCAGTTGAAGGTCATACCCAGGAAGGCAGCCACATTCCCAGGATACTGGGCTGAGAGCGAGGCAGAGTTGGCTACATCCACCATTATCAGGTGATGAGCAGCCTACAAAAGACAATTGCTTGGTAATGATGCTGTCATTCAAAAATATAACACTTTTTTATCAAAATATTGAGTTGAGCCAGGTATATATAGATTTTTTAAACCATTTCCACAATCATTTATGCTGTTGCAATCAAGTTTATTTTGCAGAGATTAGAAGCAAAATGTCACCATACTCGACTTCTTGTAACCTAACATCTTGAGTGTTTACCCTTCACATCTCAATGGCCCTTGTCCTGGTGTTCTATTACTGAGTTCAAGACCATGTGCATTGGCAGTTGGTGGAATACAAAATACATTTTTTTAAAATATGTTTTTATTGATATCAGAGAGAGGAGGGGGAGGGAGAGAGTGATAGAAACATCGATGAGAGAGAAACATCGATTGGCTGCCTCCCACACAGCCCCCACTGGGGATCAAGCCTGGGCATGTGCCCTGACTGGAAATCAAACCTGTGACTTCCTGGTGCATAGACAATGTTCAACCAACTGAGCCACACTGGCCAGGGCCGAAATACATTTTGATGAGTTTGGCAACTGGTCTAACTCTTCCTAGTGAGAAATATATTTTTTTCTCTCTCACATTTTTGGCCTCTTGACTGCTTTTGTTTTCTTTATTTAAAAAAAAAGCCACACATAAGTCTTCTGCTAATTTTGAGTTTCATCCATCCCTCTATATGCTTAGGTCTATGAAATAAACATAGAGGGGTATTTATAGGTGCAAGGAACAGGCTAAGTACTTTTCATCCATCATCTGCTTAATCCTGGCTACAAATCCAGAAGGGAGGTATTGTTAACCTCTACAGATGAGGAAACTGAGACCAAGAGAGAGCAAGTAACTAGTCCAAAATAACACTGCTAGTAACTGGTAATGCTAACTCAGGGCTATCTAATTTCAGACCCCTTCATAACCACTATACTCTGCTATCTAAAAATCAAAACCAAAAATATCATTTAAATCTACACTAAGCCATGGTATAACACTCTGCTATCTAAAAATCAAAACCAAAAACTAAAAATATCATTTAAATCTACACTAAGCCATGGTATAAATGTCTTTCAGTGCGTAATGTTGGAAAATCTATTCTTCTTTGCCAATAAGATGCAAATTATATATATATATAGTCTTTCTTCCTTTTGGAAGAAACACACCTTGTTTGTTTCAAACAAACAAAAAGTTAATAAACTTACCACTGCATGTTTTTCCATCTGGCTCAAGCACTGAGCCTTCAGGACAGAAACATATGGGACCATCCGAAGTCAGAACACAGTCATGGCTGCATTCAGATGCATTGCTTGGACAGGAAATTAATTCTAATTAATAAAGAATAAGGTCAAGATTAGTGTTAAATCACATTTGTGGAAATTCAGTAAAATTGCTTGCTAGTAAAAAATGCTATCCTGAAAAGAGTAAGTTAAATAGAAATCAAACATTTATGAATTACTGTGGTAATGAAGGAACAAAAAGAAAAGAAAAATTTCAAATCCAAAGAATATATAAAGAAAAACATCTGACTTTGGAAAATGACTCCAGTTTCCTCTAACTTTCTTTTAAGTCAAATGATATTTTTAAAGTTATTGGTCATCAAAATTCAAAAATATTTAAAATGGAATGTGGGCGAATGATTCTCAAGTTCATCTGGAAAACAAATTTATGTGAAGGGAAAACTAAAAACATTGTATGACTGTGGTTAGGTGTAGGGACAGAATGAGAGGCGCTTAACAAATATCAAAATGTACCATGAAGGAACAATAATTAAGATAGTGGGTAATAAGTATGGGAAAAGACAGAAAGAATAGTAGAACCAGATAGAAAGCTTGTTTTATAAAAGACTCAAGTACACATAAAGGTATTTTTTAAGATAAAGGTATTTTAAATCATTGAGCATGTGAAAGATGTTCCAATCAATATTTAGCCTATCTTAACTGTACAAATTGTATCTTAAAGTAATCAAATAGTTAATGAAAGTTTTCTTCATACAGATATTCCAATTAATAATTAAAAGTAACTACTAGAGCCCTAACTGGTTTGGCTCAGTGGATAGAGCGTCGGCCTGGGGACTGAAGGGTCCCAGGTTCGATTCCAGTCAAGGGCATGTACCTTGGTTGCTGGCACATCCCCAGTAGGAGGTGTGTAGGGGCAGCTGATCGATGTTTCTCTCTCATCGATGTTTCTAACTCTCTATCCCTCTCCCTTCCTCTCTGTAAAAAAACAATAAAATATATATTTTTTTAAAGTAACTACTAGAACTAGACATCGCCATTTGAAACACTTGGTGGAATAATGAATCTAGGAAGTGATTGGCAATGGCTGCTACAACCCTCCCCCGAAAGTCCACTGGCCCTTTTCTAGCCCCTCAGCCGCCTTGGCCGCTTCCAGGTGTGTTTGGTTGGTGGGGGTCCTGCACCAAAGGAAGAAGGACGATGGCTGAAAAGAAGACAAAAAGTCCTTGGAGTCACCTCTCGGCTCCAGCTCATTATAAACAGTGAAAAGTAAGTTCTGTGGGCACAACCCGCTCTGAGTTATCAGACGGGGCAAGAGGGAACTGGCCATCCTCGTCAACAGCGGCCCAGTGCTGTGGGGATCTGAGACAGAGTTCTGCACCGTGTTGGCCAAAACCCGGGTCCATCACGGCAGTGCCAATAATATCGAACTGGAGAACTGTACACCAGAATCCTATATACTTTTATTAACCAATGTCACTCTAATAAGTTTAATTTTTTAAAAATAGAAATGCTACTAATAATATTGAATTGGGAACTGCATGTGAAAAATACCTCAGAACATACACACTGGCTACCGTTGACCCAGGTGACTCTCTATCATTAGAAGCATGCCAGACAGACTAGTGAACAGTGCATCATGCAAAATTGTTCTTTAGTAAAACAGGCCAGAGCTTGTTTCTAAAAAAGAATGAAAGAAAGACAAAGAGAAAGAAAGACTATAGGGGACATTTGTAATGTGTCTCCTGATGGAAATATAACCACACCTATGAAGTATTCTTGCCAAAAATGTCAAAGCCGAGTCTGATCAAGCCTTTACATCTATCTATAAGTTTGTAGAAGAAAAGGGAAATCACAGAAGTGCCATCAGTAAAATCCAAAACGTGAGAGACTCTGAAGGGGAAAAAATGGTTCTTTAATAAATATTTGCAAGGGGGAAAAAGAAGAGAGAGAATCTGTAGGATAATATAGAGTTGTATCAACCTAACACAACAGTATTACTACCCTTGTCTGGATACTTCTTCAAACCAAACAACTGTGCAAAAAATTTTTTAAGATAATTTGAAAACTGACTAGATATTTAATATTATTATGGAATTATTAATTTTTAGGTGTAGTAATGGTATTGTGGTTATACCTGAAAACTGACTGAATATTAGATGATATTAGAGATTTACAGCTAGTTTTTTAGATATAATAATATATCATGATTTTATATGCTTGTCTTTTAGTAATATACATATAATGAATATTATAAAATATGGATAAATTTGGAAAATATATATATATGTATATATATATTCCACAAGTCTGGAATAGAATCCAGTCATTTATGTTTTAAAACAAAATAAAATAAAACTCCAAGGTAATTCTGAAGCTTACAGCTGATCTAGGACCATCAACCCAGTCCATAGCTACCTCCCAAACATCAGTGAATATGAAGGAAATAGCAAAGTAAGTATTTGTGACTTACGGTGACACCGTTTCCCATCAGGAAGCAGAACAAATCCTACAGGGCATGTGCAATAATAGGATCCGGGGGTATTTTCACACCCAAGAGTACAGCCGTGATTCCAAAGGGCACATTCATTGACATCTACACAAGGACAACAGCAAAACACAGATGGTTATTTTTGAAAATAAATTGTAGTATCCCTCACAAGTCAGCCCAAAATAGAGCATTTCACACTTGTATCTGCTGTTCCTGACCGTGGAAAGACTGCTTTTGCTACTGTAGTAAAGGGTGAACGAAGTCAGTTCAATTATCATGAAAGTCCTTGTTATTCTGTCAGAGTTTGCACTTTCATATACAGATGTTCATAGAATTACCCTGGGGGGGAAATCATACTATTTTCTCTGAAAAGATACAGCAACTTAAAGCCACTTAAGGCGGGACTGTTGAAAGTTCTTGACAAGGACAGGACATGCCTGCTCTGCTCTGCAGCCTCTCAAAGCTGACAGGAGCCCTCCCCTGAGGGTGGGCCGACTCTCAGCAGCATCCCTCAGCGACACCCAGCCTCCAGGTCCCCGTTCTATGAGATGCCTCCCTCTGACTCACCCCAGGTAAGCAGGGGCGTATCCTTAACTAGTGGGTGTCACGTTTACCTAATGTCTCACCCCAGCTACCTCCACTGCGTATGCGCTGCAGCCATCGGAGTGTTTTCAGCAGCAGCTCACTGGAGCGCCCCAGTATTCCTCCTGGGTTCGCTAAACTTGGCCCGGAGTCTCATCTAGGAGGAGCCCTAGCTGACCAGCGGGCTACACAGTTCCTCCAGATTCCCTTTCCCGCTAGACCTTCAGGGGAGGAGATGTGGGGTCACACACCCTTTGAGCGTCTTATGATAGCTATGGAACTACTTCCCTAAAATATTTGAAAATACTGATATTTTGCACACAGCCAAACCCACGGGGTTCCATGGAGTCCCCTCAGAGAACGCCTGCCTACGGTCAACCCCTGCGGAGCCTCTGAAAGCATTCGATCTAGGATCACAAGCTATAAAGAAGACCTGGAAGTATTACGAAGGCTTTAAAAACAGGGGAAAATAAAATTGCTTCTCTGGGGAAGGGAGGGGGGAGTAAAACTGATTTCACATCGAGGCTCTGCATGGCCCACTGAAGAGCAGGTGCCTGTCAGAGCCCCGACAGCCACCGCGCATTACCTTCACAGTGCTTCCCGTCCTGGCTTAAGGCGTAGCCCTCCGCACACGTGCACAGATAGGACTTAGGGGCTTGCCCACACACGCTGCCTCTGCAGTTACCTTTCCTCAGTTTGCAGAGTTTCTGATCTAAAAGAGAAGATGGTTTATTTGACATGGGGGTGTGTTTTGACAGGGGGCAATGCCTGATTCCTTCATGGTTCTTAAATCTAATCTCCCTGTGGCATCAGCAGGGGGTTGTCTTCCATGGTGGTGGCACCGCTCTAGGGTGGGACGGCTTTGGCAGGATTCGCAGCTTTCCCAAGCCCATTCAGTTTCCTAATTGTATCCCTCCTGCAAAAGCTCAGGGCGTTCGAATTAGCTGGAGATGTCATTCCTGGGGTGACTAACACTAAACACAACTTGGCTTTTTTCATTCTGATTTACCTTTGTAAAAAAAAATAATCAAATACATAAACAAAAATTCTGTAAATGAAATATCTCTTACAGAACATCTGTTCTTAAGTGTAATATTTATCTGTCAGATCTATATAGTTAGTTGTCTTTAGGATCACTGTTTCAAGAACATTTTTCAGATTTAATAAATACCCATGTAGTATGTCTAGCCCCAATTTTCTGAGTTTATTGCATTCCATGTTTTACAAAATAACCCAGTGTAAATAGTAAAATCTGCTCGGTGAGGTAGATGCTTGGGTTGAATTAGCCAAATATAATGAACAATAAATGGCCAGCGTGGTACCTTTAATTATCAGAGCCCGAATCAAGGGCCAAACTAGTCACATGTACATCTCTGCTCCAGTTGTGTCCCTTCCTATTCTTTGCCAATTTTTACAATGACAACACCTTTGCAAAATGCTCTAGAAAATACTGAGATCAGCTGAGTGTGAAGGCCGACCCCAGGATGCAGTTAGATATGAGGCCAGAGCTCTGGTAGGAGGTGACCTCAAGGGGAGAAAATGGGGGTCATGGACCCTGAGTCATGACATGGCTGAGGTCAACGAGACCCTGTGAATCATGGGGAGAGCCAAAGACCTAAGGGCAGGACTGCTGAAAACAGCCTTGCTGCGAAGGGCACAAGAAACTGGCCAGAGAGAACCTGAGCACAGCAGTGCAAGGGGCTGAGACCATGCTCCATGTGGCTCTCTGTTTATCTACTTGTAAATGTTTCCTCTCTCTCTGACTCTACCTGTTTCCTTCTGTGTTAAATTATGAAACACTTTTCTTGACCAACACCAGCATGACACAGTAGAGACATATTCTTGCCCCTTGAAAATGTCCCTAGCGTGCATTGTCCCACCTGAAGAGCATGTCGCACTTGGGAGATTCTGATTTGCTAAATCAAGGAAATGGCTCAGGAATCTGCATTTTTCACAGGATCAGGGTGATTCTGAAGCCGGGAGTCTTCACGCCACACTCTGAGAAACAGCAACCTAATGATGTGCTAATGAAACATCTCTCCTTCATCTCAGTTGCAAATACCTCCTTTTACCTTGTCTGTGTTATTTCCTTACTTATTTTAAACTCGTTTAGTTGAATCTCTGTACAGAATTAAATGCACAATTTTGTCAATTACTCAATACTGTTGCAATAAGACCTACTAAGTCAGTTAAGATTACACTGAATAATATTTTTATATTCATTCCAAAATTTTTATTTTTTGTTCATTTTTGTGCCAATTACGAATGTATAGTTACATTGTTTTTCATGTTCCTACATGTTTCACATATCAAAATTTTAACTAAGCAAACTTAAAAATAATATGACCCAAAAATGTAAAGTAAATGACTAAAATTATACTAGTAAACTTGTAAATTTGTTGGAGACAAAATACACCCACTGCAAATTTATTTAAGAAAAAAAAGGCATGTAATTGCCCTAGCTAGTGTTGCTCACTGGTTAGAGTGTCCGCCTGTGCATCAAAGGGTCTCAGGTTCAGCTCCTACCTGGGTTTCAGGTTCAATCCCTGCCCCAGGAGTGAGTATGGGAGGCAACCAGTTGATGTGGCTCTCTCACATTGATGTCTCTCCTCTCTCTCTCTTTCTCTCTCTCTCTTCCTTTCTCTCCCCCCACCCCCCTCTCTCACTCTCACAGAAAAAGCAATGGAAAAAGTATCCTCAGGTGAGGACTAACAACAACAAAATAGCATGTAATTTTTTTTACTTCAATTTCCTCACTCTCTCAGAAAAAGCAATGGAAAAAATATCCTCAGGTGAGGACTAACAACAAAATAGCATGTAATTTTTTTTACTTCAATTTTTATAAAGTTTTCAAGTGAACAACAAAAATCCAGAAAGGTCTGATTTGGCCTTCTAATGGCACCAAAGTGCTATGCTTTCTTGAGGTAACAAAAAAAAATTGAACAATTAAGATTCCTATAATTATTCCTTATAAAAATCTTTCCAAATCCCATATGATAGATGACCACTGGATTAAGAATTAGGAAGACAGAGTTCTATCTTGGTTCTGCCTTTTACATTGAATCACTTTTTTGTTGCTGTTTACCTCCGTTTCCTAAGCCATGAAATTCAAGTGTTGAGATAGATATTCTCTGAGATCTCGCACTTAAAAAAATATTTTTATGATCCTATACAGAATCAGATGTTTGCGGTACATTCCTCTAAATGTATACCTCTAAAGATTCTCAAACCTTGATTACTGCTTAAAATATGTTAATGGAGATTCAAATTGACTAATAAAAATAATTAGTGTCTAGGGTAAAGGAAATGCTCTTTCCTTCATCTAGATTTTTATTGTTGTTGTTGCTAATTTTCTACCACCTCTCACCTGCCCTTCTGTGTGTTCTTATCACCATCATCACCATTGTCATATATATATATATCTACACTAATAAAAGAGAAACATGCAAATTGGTGTCTCCCCACTACCCTTCCCATTGGCTAATCAGGGCGATATGCAAATTAACTGCCAGCCAAGATGGCGGCCGGCAGCCAGGCAGCTTGAAGCGAACATGAGGCTTGCTTGCTTCAGTGACGGAGGATCTTACTAATAATACACATTACTCTTCAAAGATGAGCATAGGCAAAAAAGCAATCATTATTTTCCTCTGAATGTGCTGATGGTGTGACCTGAATTCAGACACTAAACACCTTAAAAGGTCATTTTAAGAAGTAGCAAAACATAGAGGATTGAGGGCTATATTTTGGTTTAATCACCTTAATCTTCTGCGGTTCTTTAGCTTCAAATTAGGCCAAAGCTAGCACTCAGAATGCTGCTGATGACCTCAGATAATACCCCTTCCCAGGGCCCAGCATTGAGGCTTAATTACCTTTGAGATCGAATTAAAGCTCCTAATCATGGAGTTTAATGTCCACCACCAACTGTTCCTTCGGCATCTACCTGGCTAACACGCAGGCTCTCAGGAGCTTTGCTACAGCCAAGTGAATCTGCAGATTTTACTCTGGCCCAGTTCTGAACAAGGGACATGGGATTCCTTATCCTGCTCTTTTCCTACTGTCACACCTTTTTTCTACCTCAGGTTCATCATAATATATTTTTTTTTATTTCAGAGAGGAGTGGAGAGGGAGAGATAGAAACATCAATCATAAAGAGAATCATTGATTGGTTGCCTCCTGCGTGTCCCCCCACTCAGCCAGAATTCATCTACTTGGTATCTTTCATCATCTAAACTCCTCTAAACATCAGAAAGTAAACAAATCAACAGACTCCAAGCAGTTAAAAATACATGCTTTTTACTCTCAAAAGAGCCCCTCAGGTTCACTCAGTCATTTATATTTTAGACCCATTTCTGACAAGTTTGGCCAGCCCATAGCATGGAAATAAAAATACAAAGTGTGCGCCCTTCACTCCCATTGTTACAACCCCAACAATCACTACATTCCCTGGCAGCAGAAGTGGCTACATGATTCCAGTGGTCTTTCTCGCTGAGCCCAGACAGAGCCTCAGCCCAGCTTTCAGACCTCCCGGGGCAGTTACTGGGAGAGAGCAGGTTCTCTAGATGAACCTATTGGTCATCTCTCCCATGAAGATTAGAAGCCTCAAATCAGGGCTCCTCCTAGAGAAAGATGGTACAGTTTGAGTGCCCAAATGATAGTAATTGCAATAAATAAAAACACGTCAAATATTTTTTAAATCCATGAGTTTATAAAGATGCTTTTAAAAAAGATCACTTTTGGAGGCTAGCCTACTAACCCTTATTCTGAAAACAGATACATTAGGGAAATAATCAAGCATTTAATTTTCCTTTCCTATAAAAGATCCTTCTCAGAGAAATCATACTGCTGATGTGAATAAACGCATAAACGATGATAGACTTGAATGTCCTCACTTTGAACCACCAACCAAAAAATGGCTCTAGGCAATGATAAACAATAGCTTCTAAAGCCTGATTGCTCAAAAGGCTGATGGGAAACTTGATAATGGATGGACCAGGTTGGCAACACCAGAACTGCTGATGAATCTTAAACATCACAAAAGAACAAGAACCAGCCACTGCATGCCCGCTGCTGTGGTCGGTAGGAGGCATACAGCACTGCCTACAGTACCACCTATTAGGTATTCTTGCAAGAAACCTGAATCTGAACAGGCTTCTAAGCCTAAACTATCTGTTCAAAGAAATACAGAATCATGTTAAATGACACCATAGGGGTACAATCTGCAAAATCCAGAATGTGAACAATTCTACAAAACAAATGATCTGGTTTCCTCAATAAACAAATGGTAAGAAAAAGCCCCGGATTAGAAGATAAAGTGAGGTCACAGCCAGGCATGTGAGGACCTGCAAGCAGTGAGAGCCGACAGCGAGAAAGAAGACAGGAAAATGATAAAGAGCCATTCCGACCACTGTGTTTCAAGTGGCAGCCATTTGGTGTTAGGGCAAACCTGTATTTAAAAACCCAGCTTTACCTCAAACCAGTCCTCTGCTTGCCCCAGTGGTGTCTCTTTGTAAACGTGACCCTTCATTGTCATGAAGACAATGTCAGTAACTATCTCTAACTATGTTGGAAGGATATAGCAATCCATATTTTGCTAAGATTTCTATGAAAAATAAAAGAAATTTGGATGTTTGGAGTGATCATTTAGAATTATATGAAAACAGAAGAAACTGGAATCCTGTGCACTGCTGGTGGGGATGTAAAATGGCACAACCACTGTGGGAAACAGCATAGAAATTTATTTTAAAATTAAAAACAGAATTGTCATCTGATCCAAAAATGCACTGGATCAAAAGAATTAAAAACAGGGTCTTACATGGATGGACCAGGCTGGCAACACCTGAACTGCTGATGAATCTGGAACATCACCAACAGAACCAGAACCAGCCGCTGCATGCCCGTGTTCACAGGAACATTATTCACAATAGCTAAACATGGAAGCAACCCAAGTGTTCATCAACAGATACATGAATAAGCGAACTGTGGAACATGCTTAAAATGGGCTATCATTCAGCCTTGAAGTGGAAGAAACTTCTGACATAGGCTATCACATAGTTGAACCTTGAGGACATTAGGCTAAATAAATAAGCCAGTTACAAAAGATAAATACTGCATAATTCCACTAGAGGCAGTTACAGTAGTCAAAATCATAGAGACAGACAGTAGAAAGGTGGTTGCCAGGAGCTTGGAGATGTTATAGTTTAATGGATATAGAGTTTCAGTTTTACAAGATGAAAAGTTATGGGGATGGGTGGTAGTGATGATTGTATAACAATGTGAGTGTACTTGATGCCACCGAACTGTACACTTAAAATAGCTAAGATGGTAAATTTTATGTTATATGTATTTTACCAAAATAAAACTATTTTAAAAATATGTGGAAAAAATACTCACTTATCTAGGATGATTCTTTTCTAAAGGTTTCCAAATAACCCACAGTTTACAGTAGACACTCCAGCAATAACATAATCAAGATGAATCAGCGTCTCACCGGTAGTTTTAGCTACACTAATCTCTTCCCTAAGCAGGTACACTTCCAGGTGGAGGAAATTCTCCTTCATGAACTCTCAGAATTAAGGAAATTCAGCGATATTTTGTGCATGAAATGAATGTGAAGTAATTTGCACTCTGTTGATGATAGATACCCTTCATTTTCCAAAGGATTTGTTTTTGAAACTCTCTCAAGGACTTAAAACTGGAATCTACATTTAAAGGAATACAGGAGAAAGCAAAAGTATTAGCACCTTTAAAAAAATTACTTCTGTGAGCAGTAAAACTAGCTACAACATCCCCAGAGGTTCAGTTTAAAATAATGTACTGTATTCAGATTGTATACAAAAAAGTTTTCACACTGTCTCTGAGATTCATACACCAACTAGTATGGGTGTTGGTCGAGGCAGCCAGGAGAGCACTGTTGCCTAATCAATTTAATCCTGACAACGAAAGTGTGGTTCAATTCTGTGTCTGTTTTCCAACAACCAGGGGAGAAGTGTGTGTGTGTGTGTGTGTGTGTGTGTAAGAGAGAGATAGAAAGTTAGAGTCAGAGATTTTTCTGAGTTCCTGAAATGGGAAAAAAAAACATTTTTTTTAGAAAGAAATGAGATTTGGCCCTGCCTTCCATGCAAACTGAAACATTTAACCACAAAAAAGACCATAGATAGACAATATGTCAAATTACAAGCTTTCCCAAAATAAATAAGGCAAAATCTATAAAATGGTATATAACATCAGAGGGAGTTGAGGAGGTGTCACTCCACATGGGTTCCAATCCCAATCCCACCAGAGTGTGACCTTGAACAAGCTATAGTAACATCACTGAACCTCAGTTTTTAATCTATAAAATGATACTAATAATCACACCTAATTCATAAAGCTTTCGTGAAGATTAGATGAGATAATATAGGGAAAGCCCAGAGTGGATAATTCTGTGTATACTCAATAATTATGGCTATTTCTATTATCTAAGGGTGATAGAACCTGGGGTGCTTTTCTGTTTCATTTTCTATGCATCATGTGACTCCCATTATCTACCACTTCTAGTCCAGATTTCTTTCTTGAGATATAGACCAATTTTTTTTTTTAAAAAAAGAAAAAGACTGAAATATAATGAGAATGAAACTGCAAAGATCTGCTACAGAGTTAAGCTGTTGCAGAGAAAACCGATTAAAACATCAGGGATTTATTTTGAATGTACCAAAGAGAGGCGGAGCTTACAGCATGAAGGAAGGCAACACGTGCTTAGATAGTAAATATCTTTAGAACTTCTTCCTTTTGATATTGTTTAGGGGCGAGTGCCAAATGGTGTTTTTACATTTAGTTTTATTCCAACTATTACTAAATGTCCTCCGGGCACTGGGAGTACCTGGAGCGTTGTAGTCCCTGTCCTCATAGGACTGAAGGGGTTTAGGAAGGGAGACAGTTATGGCAAAGTATGATCAAGTGCCGTGTGCCGGGAAAGGTGTTCTCTGAGAGCGTTCCTGAGCCGGCACGAAGGCTGGCAGGACAGAGCAGGCCTGCCTGTAGGAGGACATGAAATCTGGGAGGACGGTGCAGCACAGAGCAGGTCAGACAATGTGAGAGGGGAAGCTGAGAAACGAGCAGAGGACCCTGCAAGCAAGCGAAATAGAGACTGGACTTTCACTGTTGGCATTTGAGGGTTGTCAACTGGTTTCAACCAAGGGATGACATAACTGGGTTCTCTTTCTTAAAGGGTTACGCTCGCTGCAGGATAGAAAAGGGAGGCGGGGTACAAGTTTAGGGGACACTGAGATGGCTGCCCAGAGAGGACCAGCGCTTGGGTTGTAAGTGGTAGAATTCTTAGGACGTGCAGATTGATTTCATGGGTGGGAGTGGGAAAGAGGGAGGAAAGGGAGCTCCTACATGTCTGCCTTGGGAGAAGGAGGTGAGCTGTCACTCACTGAGTCCGGGCACTGGACGGAGAGGAGCTGGGGAGAAGGGACGCGAGAGCCAGTAGGTCAGTTATGTCCTTTGCGCCTAAAGCACTTGCAAGAAATTCAAGTAGAAATGCTGAGAAGGCAGCCAGACATCTGGGCCTCGATGTTCGCTGAGCCTGAATGTGTACAGACGACGTGTCCACTGCAGGACCTGGGCTGGGAGGGGGCAGTGGGCCAGCAGGCAAGGCCCCGAGGAGGGACCTGAGTGACCACACTCAGGACACTGGTCAGGATCCTGAGAAAACCCGCCTGACAGTGAAACTGTGGCTGGACCGTGGAGACTTGGCTCAGCGGTCGGCTGCATGGAGCTCTTTGCTAACAAGCCAATACACATTCACAAGCCCGGGCCTTGTTTAAACCCACAAACGAGGCTTCCTTGAGACACCCGTGACTTTGGCTTTGGGAGCCGCACCCTTATCCTAGTCAGACAACAGTCCTCACCGGGCTGCTCTCTTCTGTATATTCTGAATAAATCCCCAATGTTTTTCATCACTTTTCTCTGCAGCTTAGCTCTGCTGTGGACCTTTGTAGCTTGACTTTCGCCATGCCTTGGTCTTTCAAAAAATAAAAAGGTTTAGATCTTAAGAAAGAGGTCTGAGCTAGAAATATGTTGGTAGTCAAGTGGGCTGCTGCACAGGAAATAAAGGAGGAAATCTCTAAATTTGTATCACCCTTAGAGATTAACAATGCGCTTAACCATGTGAGTGGTTCTGAGAAACCACTTGAGAAAAAAACCAACCCGTTTAACTTTCTTTAACCCAGTCTGTCTAAATGATTTGACTCTGAAATGTTTTTCCCCCAAATACTTTCATTAAATCCCATAGAGCTAGTGTTTTGTAGAAGGTTTTGATAAGTGGTAGTTTAGGCATTTTGCATGAAATTTATTGATATTCTGATGTGTATACTATAAATACTTACATTTCATAACAAAAATAACATCAACCAGGGTACATGATTTTTATCGGTTACCTCCGTGTTGAAGTAGCCTCACTACAAAGTGCCTTGCAACCCAAGTATTACCACGGCCCCCTCGGCAGAGGAGCTGCAGCTGTAAGACTGTTATCCAGGAGGAACTAGCCATCCTCTAGGGCAGTGTTTGTAAACGTGAAGGATATCTGGCGCTTTGAGAATCTGATAAAAGTTATCTACCATATCCCTAGGGGACAATTGCATATTTCATCTAACACATACTATCAAGAGACTCAGAGACTCTAAATCCCAGGTGAAGCATTCCCGCTCCACAAGACACAAGAACAATTAATAAGCCTATTTCATCATGGCCAGCGTCACAGTGCTCTTGAAATCAAAAGTCCTCAGCACTTGGAGCACGTGTGGTTACATTCTTTGGTCAGTGACTGGAGCCAAGATCGCCGCTGCCCATTGCCTTCTAGATTCCAGGTTTGCCTGTAACTCTGCAGCTGACAGTGGCCTCCCAACCAAATTCTATTATTTGCCACGTTGTTTAAAGCCGTTTTGTAATGAATCATTATAGATTTTCTTTTTCAATTCATGCTTTCAATTATCCTATTTAAACTCCTCATCAAGGAAGCTGCGTAATCTTGAAGGACTCTGAAGGGCTCAAGTGTTCGTTGATGGGAGAAAAAACACTAACCTCACAGACTGATCACAGACATTTAACTGAAGAGAATTCTAGGCGGAGTGAAGAGTGACTGCACATGTGTAAAGGCATGAAGGAGCCGGGCATTCTGAGAAACTGGAAAGACCTGTGTTGGATCCCAGACAGGGGAGGAGGAAAGACCGTGCTAGATCAGGGTGGTCAAACAGTGACAGGCCTGTTAAATCGTTACAGTTCAATCTAAATGAAAAGGGAAGCTTTTGAAGGATTTTAAGCAAATGGATCAGATGAACTATTTAAAGACACGAGAGAAAAATAGAAAGATGAGCTGAGTGGCTACGACTGTGGGCCAGAAGTGCTGGTTGTCTGGACCATGACAATGGCAGTGGAGAAGAGAAGTGGTGGGAAGGTCTTGGAGGTAGATGGGAAATTGGGGGTGAAGCAGTGGGAGAAATCAAGGATAAACCCTTAGTGTCTGGATAGGGAGTAACTAAATACCAGCCCTTGTTGAAGATCAGAGATGACTCACCAGACGTCACAGCATCAGGCTCTGCCTTGGGCTGTACAAGTGGGTGTACTACTTTAATTCCACCAGGTGGTGCAAGTGATGAGTTGAGGTTAATCCTAACCATATCCCTCCCAGTGTGTTTGTTGGCTATCCAAATCGTCTTCTTTCTCCATGTTGAGTAGAAGATACGGTCTCCAAAAAGGGACATTGCAAACAAATTGTGCCTAAAACACAACAGAAAAAAACATTTGTTCTTGGCCTTATTAAAGTTTCACTTCCTTTCAATTTATTGTCTGAATTTTAATCACCTACCTTTTTGATTATTTTTTTTTTTTTTAGATTTAGAAACAGGTATTGAGCTTAAAATTTTATATATGTAGTCATACTCTGAATTAATGGGGTATAATTTCTAGCTCCAGATTCATTGTCTCATTCTTTTGCAAATCAGCACGGAAGCGTGATGGATAGAAAATAGGGAAGAAAATAGGAACAGGGTAGGATTGGACTTCTGGTTTTGTCCATTTCACACATGACTCATTTCTGCCTCTTTCCAAAAGCTGGGAAGTCAGTTACTGGCAAGATAACAAATCAAACATGTATAACTTTATAACTGCATGCCATAAAAATTCCAAAAAGAATAACTGTAACCAACATGTGAAAACTTATTATGTGCCAAATACTCTGTTATTTATTTTTATTTCTTTACTTAACTTTCACAATATCCCCAAGAAATAAGTACTATTATTATCCCCATATTAAAGGAGACTGAGGGTGAGAGAAGTCACATACCTGCCCAGAGTGACTTGTCTAATAAATGGTAAATCTGAAACTTGAATTCAAGACTCCAAAATCTGTGCTAACCCACCATAGTATCGGCTTAACTGGCAAAAGTAAAATTAATATCACACAAATTTCAAATGGCAATTGTTCCATTTCACACCAGAAGCAAAACTTACTGTGCAAGATGTTTGCTGAAATGGACAGAACCTCCATCATAATCACAGGAACAAACGCGAGAATTGCTCCCTTCACTGTGGTACTGAATCCAAAAGAGCCGTTTATCAAGCACATCCAGTGACATAGCTGTTATTTTCTCTGACGTCTCGAACAGAATCTTCCCTTCCACACCTTTGAGATCTGCTCTGTGAAGGCTGCCGGCCACCTCTGAAGACCAAAATATAAACCTGGGGGCGAACACATGAATTAGACACATAATTGAATGTAAGGTCACTTAAATGGTCAACTCTCTCAGTGTGTGCACGGTCCCCGGGTGTCTGCACAGGACAAACTTGACTATTTTGAAAGAAAATTGAATTCAACAGCAGTCCTTGAACTTCCCATGGGATTTTAAGCTGGAGGAGATTTATGCTTCTACGGCAGGAAGCCATGGTCGTCAGGAGTGCTATTTGTAGAGGGAGTCGCTGTGGTTCAAATCCAGCAAGCGGCCTATTGGAAAGGGTGATTCTGTATCACAAAAGAGGGCCATGGTCTCAATGACAAGGTCCCTTTGAGTCCAAATGCTGTGATTCTATGAATTTTCACCAGACTTTGAAATATATCTCAGTGTCTGAAAAACAGCAGAATTTACCTTTCTACTGGATCGACTGCTACGTTTGCAGGGTATTTTAAGGTGCTTAAGAGAACACGGGGATTGTTTCCTTCCATATCTGTGACTGTAATGATTCCTTCCTGTTGATTTGACCAAATTAGTTCTTCTTTTATCCAATTTATTGCCATTCCTGAGACATTTTTCTCTATAGTGCATACTCTCTGTAAAAATCAAATTTCAAAATTGTTATGAATAATCCTCCATTCTCAACAAAGTTGTTTTTATTTTCTGTAGAAGAGCCTGTTCTTTTGAGTACTTGTCATTTTTTGCATTCCCAAATTACTTTAATGATAAAATAATCACAGCCACAATGCCGTTGTTTTGATGCAGCAGTTAACCCACCATCTGCATACTTCTGGGCACAGTTTCTATAACTGCAGTAACAGTGAAATTTCAATGCTACCTTAAGGACAGTTTACTCGATTCCACTTGCTAATGGAACTTTCCAGATTCTCACTTGAATTCAAGTCCAAGCTTTACCAAACTCTGGCAGGATTCCCTTGGAATCTGCGCACAGAGCTCTAAAATAGAGGAATTTCTCATTAGGGCCCCACTTTTCTTCTGGCCCCTCCTCCTCCATCAGGCCCCTCCCTTTCTGCAATCCCCAGTGCCCTTGCCCTCTGACCCCATGAACTAAAGGGCAAGGCTTCTCTTCTTGTCTCCTGGGCAGTGTTCTCTGCTCTGTCATTTAAAAAACAGCCCAACAAAAACCTCTATTATCTCCTCATTCCAGTGTGCGGGGTAAACTGGTCTCCTTGGGGGGTGGAGGGTAGGCGGTGGGGAGAAGGTTGCAGATTTCCATGGTGTAAATATTCCCACCAATCCTGATTTCCAGCTACTGACCTGACCTCACTGATCACATGTGGGCAAGGATCTAACATTCTCATGAGCCTGTCCTATTCCTATATCTCAAACAGAATAATTTGGTCCAACCATTGAACCAATTGCTAATAGATTAATATATAGCTCATCCAGGTAAATTGTTTACATTTTAACAGATGTCTTTTATAAACAATGTTTTAACCCAAAGGAGGGAACACAATAGTGGATTTTAGGCATCAAAGCCAATTCGTTCCTAATGACTTGACAAAAATTCACAACTGTTTAACTTCTTTCCTATTCTGTGACAGGAAATTCTCCAGATTCTTAGATTTAAGATTTTGAAACAATTCTACAGATGGCTGGAGAATGAGTAGCCATCCTTGTTAAAAGTGAGATTAGCAAGTATTAAAGATGTGATAAAACAGATTAGCAACTAATTGAAGCTTTTAAGAATAATTGGAGAGAGAAGGTTTGGTTTAAAAAAAAACCACACAAAACAGTGGGCACTTTGTGCTGGGAATAAATGCTTAAGGTTTCTCTAGTCACACACTCTCTGTAATCTATCTCCCAGGAAGAGAGAGGACATTCCTCCTGGGACTCATGTAAGGGTTCTACCAGTTAAAAGGAAAGATTAAAGATCTTTAGTGAGTACTTGAAGCAAAATACTTTATATCTATCTGCTTTATTTTTTCAGCGTGCAAACACCTTGAGAATTAAAAAAAAAAAAAAGTTTTTCTTCCTAGATATCAGGTGCCAAAACCCTCAACAAAGATTTTAGACAATGAAACAGGGTTTCTCAATCTCAACACGATGGATGTTTGGGGCTGGATAGTTCTTGGTTGTGGGGACTGCCCTGCATGTTGTAGGATGTTTAGCAGCATCCCTGGCCTCTGCCCACTAGATGCCAGTAGCACATCCTCCCTCCTCCCCAATCCAGTTGTGACACCAGAAATGTTTCCAGACATTGGCAAATATCCCCTGAGGGGCAAAATTGTCCCCAGTTGAGAAGCATGGGAGTAAAAGATAGTCATGTAAATAATATGTTTTAACCATAAGATGGTGTTCTGACTTAATAAACTGACATATTTTCAAAATTACATTGACATCCTTGCTTTCTACTTTGGGGGGCTTCTGAATTTCATGGGCTTGTTCAATAACATGCCAGATGCATAGTAAATAAATACCTACAAATGTCAGGCACACATATGAACTGTAATGTGATTTTCATTATCTATATGTTACTAATTAACTATATCATGTTTGTCAGCCTATACAAAAGCCCCTCGGTACCTTAGGAATTGGTACTTTACCTCTTGCCTTGTCCCATTCAGAAAAACTCTCTGCAAAAGTTGTCTTTCTGGATCTAGCCAATAGATTCTTTCTTTATTGTAATGAAAGTCCATGATCACTGATACACCAGCATCTGTCACCAATTTCTCATGATTGGTTCCTTCCAGGTCAATCCTAAAGATGCTATTTCCATGAGAGAAAATTAAGAAGGGTGCAGGACCTGAGTGGGAAGAAAGAAACCAAACTGTGTATTTTCAGTAATATTTTATTGATGTAGACAAAATACTTCCCCATGAACTAACACAAGTGTTATTAATTTTTTATTCCAGGTTCTATATTTTAAATAAGAATATATAAAGCAATATATATATATTATATATATATATATATATTCACAATTAATTTTGATTTTGCAAGTTATCTTCTCCACAAATTGATTCTAAATAATAAACATTGCCAAATTATGAAAAAAGAACTATTTGAAGAGAAAAGCACTTTCTTCTCTTATATATAAAATGACATTTTATGTTAAAAAAGAAACAACCTACTGTTTTGCCTCTGCTGGGCAAAAGGTCTATATGAATGTAAATTTTAATTCTATAAATTGGAAATAGTATTATAGATATTATCATTTTCTAAATGCCTCCCACCCCAGTCTTACATGTGAACAGAGCTTCAGGGTAATGACATGGAAGAAGGTGGTGAAAACTAGAGGTGTTAAGTGGAAGCAGGAAAAAACTGAAATGCTGTCCTGTGAAAGCGCTGGCATATTTGTTTCTGTTGGCGTCGCCACATAAAACCCAGGATGCTCAGTTAAATTTGAATTGCATATACACTGAGTGGGACATACACTAAATACTTATTTACTATTTGCCTGGAACTCAAATTTAACTGGGTGCCCTATGTTTTTATTTGCTAAATCTGGGTGGTGTGCCTCACTGGATCTCTTGATCCCTGCAGGGCCTTGCACCTTCCCTAATCTTATACCCGGGGCCCTGTAATATTTCAGGTGATGGCTACCTGCCCACGCTGACTCCCAAGTACGCAACACCTGCTTGAGAGCCTGATACCTCTCTTTGGAAACCTCAGCCTAAATTACTGGCTGACTCCAAGGAAAGCTGCCTTTGATGGTCAAGATGCTGCCGGGGGACCATTTCCTCCCCTGCAGCCAGGTCAGTCTCCTTGGTCTCTTCCGTCTGAGGGTGGGGAGGCTCCTGCCACTCTAGGCCTTTAGGTAACTATGCAACCACTGGGACGAGTGGGGATTGGAGACGATGCTAACATATTCTTGCTTCCCTGCTGGACTTACTCCATTCTGTTTTCACATTAGACTGTAATACATGCACATGACACGATATATGTACTGCTTGTTCCAAAGATTAAACAAGATGATGAGTTAATGACATTTTACTCAGAAAACATTAATTCTGCTTTAGAGGATATGTCAGAATAGAGACACAAGAAGAAGGAAGAAGTGTAAGATCATTAGAGTTTGAAATAGTGCTGGCAAAGTGTCTAAGAGAATTAGCTCAAATCACTCTGCCTGTATCTCTCTCCACACAGATGCGTAGGGGAGCCCAGGCTTCATGGCCACTCGAGCTGTAGAATCAAAGAAATCATAGGAGAAATGCAAAGGCCATTGGATCGAGAGCCAGCAGGCCTGGTTTCCAGTCCTGGCTCCGTCAGCTTCTCTGGACATCTCACGGGACCTCAGCGCCTGTATCAGAGGGTTATTGGGGAAAGAAGTAACATTATGATGTGGAAATATTTCATTAATTGTGGAGCACTACACAAGTGTGATTCATCATTGCTTATTCCCACGGTTCAGCTTTGAACCTGTGGACTAGAATGGTGGCATAGCTCATCTCTCCTATGGCGATGCGTCATGGAGAAAGGAAGACAACAGGAAAAGGCACGCTAAAGCAAGAGCTCATTTGTGGGCCGCAGACTGCTGTGGAGTCCTCTCTTTGAAATGTGCATCATGTATTCTCTATAAACTAAATAAATGTCCCCAATGTATTAATTTCCTAATACATTGTTACATTGATGAGATCAAGAAAACATTTTATTCATTTAAAAGTATAACTAAATGGGAGACTTCCAGGTTAAAAATAAAAGAGAAAGGAAAGGTACTCTAAACATTTTAGTAAGAACTTGGCATAATGCTTTCTTTGAACATAATAGGCACTTAGATTTTTTAATTAATTAATTAAGAAATATGTGTGTTTTATTAATTTGTCTGGGCTTTTACCACAGATACTAGCGGATCTATCAAATTCATAAAAGCACAATCTAGCCTATGGTAGTTATGTTACTAACAGCAATAATAATAATAACAATATGCTTTCACCTCCTGATCTCATTTATCTTTAATAAAACACCATGAGCTAGACAGGCAAGATTTGACTGCCAATAACCAAAAGAGAAAAGAGAAATCTGAAGAATACTTAGATCCATAAGGCACAAACCACAGCATTAACATCAGTAAGATTTCAAAAAACAAAGAATATTTATAGGACAAGATTGGAGAGACCAAGATGGCGGCATAGGTAAACACGGGAGACTGCTGCCGCAAACAACCACTTCAAAAATACAACTAAAAGACGGAACGGACATCACCCAGAACCACAGGAAGGCTGGCTGAGGAGAGACTCTTCAACTAGAAGGAAAAATAACAGCACACCGAGGCTCAGAGGAGGCGCAGTGTGGAAAAAACTCAGGTGCGGAGGTGCGCGCGCAAAGCGGGCTGGTGGCTGAGAGCGCGGTTGTCGTTTTCGGTCAGGGGGGAGTCTCAGACTCTGAGCTCCAGATACGGGCGAATCGCTGGGGACTCGGACCCAAACGGGAGAAGCGGGAGTGTCTGGCATCAGTTGGAAGGCAGCTTTCCCTCCGAGGTTTGCAGCGGTTCCGGGGGTTCTGAGAAGCAGAGCCTCTGGGAACAGGACTGAGGGCACCATAACGGCTCCCTCCGCCCGCCCTGTTGAGCCCGCCCCGCCCAAGCCCTGCGCAGAGCCATTTGCCGGATCACCTCAGGCAAAGGCTAGATTAGCACCTCCCCAGAGGACAGAAGTTTTCCGCGGCAGACACAGCTGATTCACACAGCCAGTCGGCCTGGTGGTCAAATCCCTCTAGTATTAACTACAACAATCAAGGCTCAACTAGAACAAGACTGCGCACAAAGACCACTAGGGGGTGCACCAAGAAAGCATAAAAAATGCGGAGACAAAAAAACATGACAGAAATGGAGGATATAGAGCTAAAAATCGCAATTTTGAGGGCTTGCAAAAATGTGCTAGAAGCTGTCAATAAACTTGAGGAGAGAGTCACGAAAACTAATGAGACCCTCGATGCTATGATAAAGAACCAACTAGAAATTAAGCATACACGGACTGAAATAAAGAATATTATACAGACACCCAATAGCAGACCAGAGGAGCGCAAGAATCAAGTCAAAGATTTGAAATGCGAAGAAGCAAAAAACACCCAACCGGAAAAGCAAAATGAAAAAAGAATCCGAAAATACGAAGATAGTGTAAGGAGCCTCTGGGACAGCTTCAAGCGTACCAACATCAGAATAATAGGGGTGCCAGAAGATGAGAGACAGCAAGATATTGAAAACCTATTTGAAGAAATAATGGCAGAAAACTTCCCCCACCTGGTGAAAGAAATGGACTTACAGGTCCAAGAAGCGCAGAGAACCCCAAACAAAAGGAATCCAAAGAGGACCACACCAAGACACATCATAATTAAAATGCCAAGAGCAAAAGACAAAGAGAGAATCTTAAAAGCAGCAAGAGAAAGAGACTCAATTACCTACAAGGGAATACCCATACGACTGTCAGCTGATTTCTCAACAGAAACTTGGCAGGCCAGAAGGGAATGGCAAGAAATATTCAAAGTGCTGAATACCAAGAACCTACAACCAAGAATACTTTATCCAGCAAAGCTATCATTCAGAATTGAAGGTCAGATAAAGAGCTTCACAGATAAGGAAAAGCTAAAGGAGTTCATCACCACTAAACCAGTATTATACGAAATGCTGAAAGGTATCCTTTAAGAAGAGGAAGAAGAAAAAGGTAAAGATACAAATTGTGAACAACAAACATGCATCTATCAACAAGTGAATCTAAGAATCAAGTGAATAAATAATCTGATTTACAGAATGAACTGGTGATTATAATGAATCAGGGACATAGAAAGGGAATGGACTGACTATTCTTGGGGGGGAAAGGGGAATGGGAGATGCGGGAAGAAACTGGACAAAAATCGTGCACCTATGGATGAGGACAGTGGGTGGGGAGTGAGGGCGGAGGGTGGGGTGGGAACTGGGAGGAGGGGAGTTATGGGGGGGAAAAAAAGAGGAACAAATGTAACCTGAACAATAAAGATTTAATTAAAAAAGAAAAGAATATTTATAAAATACTAAGTATGAATTGACAAATTTTACCCTCAGATTTTTCCTATTCACTGTGAATTATGGCATCCAGGCTGTATCATAGTCTCTTAGAACTGGAAGATCCTAGTTATTACCTAATCTAGTGTTTCCCCAAATCGTTTCTTTAGAAGAGTCCCACAGGGTACTGTGTGTGTGTGTGTGTGTGTGTGTGTGTGTGTGTCTTTTGAAGATCCCCTTCCCTTGAGAGTCTAGTTCAGTGGGGCTAGGCTGAAGGCTAAGAATCTATTTTGTGAGTAGACACTCCAGGTGATTCTTACATCTTGGTGAATTTGGAAATCATCGATCTAGTTCAGATGAAGAAATTTAATGTTTCCCCAAATCCCACTGCTAGTTGGTGGAGCTGGAATTAGGACCCAGATACCACCGTCCCAATCCAGTGTTCTTGCCTGCCTTGGCCTGGGTTGTCCTATGTCAAGACGTTACAATCTTCATTGTATGTATGTAACTGATTCTAATTCCACTTCCCTCAAAACACCATTCATTTTCCCTACACTGTCATCATCATTTTTATGTAAACCAGAGCCTGGGCTGAGTATTTGTCGACATGAAATGTATTGTGATCTAAAAGAAAATGAAAGACGGAATTAGGCTGGTGAAATAGTCATTATTCTCTACCACCGCTGGAAACGATAAGTAAGTCGTGTTTCTTCAGGCCTGTCAAAGACTATCCTGTGGTACGTATGGGGATTTGAATGTCGGCAGGGCGTGCATGTTTGAACAGCTAAACTTTCGCATGTCAAAACCTACGGCATTTATTTTGGGTGCAGTTCGGCAAGAGGAAAGTGGGT